GGCCACAACATTAGTAACAAAGAAACAGAATTTCCGGAGGATGAGGCCCAGAAATCAGGATTTTAAAAAGATTCCCAGGTGATTCTAATGTGCAGCCAAGGTTGAGAACCACTGCTGTAAGGGGATTTATAAACGGGGCACTTGCAGCCATTCATAGAAAGACTTTGTACTTCAATGTCAGACAGATTCGGGTCTGCTTTCCAACTCAACCAGTGGGTAGCTATATCCTTAGAAGAGTCAATTAACCTCTCAGATCTTCATATTCCTCTTTTAAAAAATTATAACCATGTTCACCTCACAGGGCTATTGTGATGAGAAAAGGACATATGAAATTATCTAGCCTGGTGTCTAGAAAATATTATTATCTAATTAATGTTACTTTTCTTTCCTTCCTTGGTGGTTTCTCTCCGTAATCACTCCTTTCAATAAAGTAGGAGAGCGCCTGAAGTCTGATATAATTCACAGGATGCAAATACAGGAAGAACTGAGCTGCTACTTCTAAAGAAAGGTGGTCAGCTCTGTCTGGTTCCAGAATTTCTGGAAAGCAAGAATAAAGAAGGAAGACTAGCCCAGGCCTTTAAAAACATCCACTAAAGTTAAAGATATAGAGACTTAGTGCATAATATCAGTGCAGCTATTTCTTTTCTTGAGATTCAGATCATCATTCTACAAATCTACACTCATTGTCCCAACTATGAGGGCAGCAAAATTGAGACAAATAATTTTCCTGTATTTAAAATAGGTCAGAAATGCTATCAAACAAATCAAGTATGTACCTATGTGTAGACAGCTCATTTGCAAGCAAGCTGTACCCAAATGGAGTCATTTACCAGGCCTCTTGCTCCTTCCTATTGAGGCAGTCTGTCCTGGCTTTTCCCTATGTACCCCACAGCCATCAGTCACAGTGTCCCAGCTGTTCTGACATAATGGTACTACAGGTCCCTGAGAAGACGGACCTCACAGCCGCCCCACCCAGCTTGGGGACGATGGTGTGCAGTCTGTGTCCCTCCCCCTGCTATTGTCTTTACCCTTCATGCTCCTTTTCCCTCTCTCCTGTGGGACCCCCCATTAATCCTTTCACTTCCTTGTTAATTTCCACATCAGACAAATTCTCACACATTCACAGTTTCCTGTCACCCTTTTTCTCTCAGGGAATAAAACTGGTCCTGGGTCAGTTATCCAAATCCCTGGGGAGTTTTGTTTGTTTTAAATTTTGTAATGTTGACATCATTGAAGGAGTCCCCCTTTCCCCACTCCCCTTTGCCCAACTCCACCCTCCCCAGCCTCCTACTTTCTTGGCTTTTACCAAATTATTGTCCATGTCCATGAGGTATGCATACATGTTCTTTAGCTATTTCCTTCACCTTCTTTTTCCAGTCATTCCCCACCTCCTCCCCTTGGGCACCAACCAGTCTATTCCATGTATTCATGCTTCTGGTTCCATTTTGTTCATCAGTTTATTTTCTTCATTATAAATTTTAATGAGATCATATGGTATTTATCTTTCTCTGACTGCCTTATTTCAGTTAGCATAATACTCTCCAGGTCCATCCACAATGTCACAAATAGTAGTTTTATCAAAATGCTTTAAAAAATTACTGTTTGTACTTCGGGCATACATATTTTATTTTACAAATATTGGTATCATACTGCAGATTTTTTTTATTTCACTTACTAATATATCACAGGTATTTTCTCAGATCATATGAAATGTTTTTTTGATTATAAGAATACATAACTATAAACTACTTCATCATGAAGATATATATTATTGTATGCATTTATAGTATAGCCTGAGTTATTTGAGTAAGGCAAGAGAAACTACAGTGTCTAAAAGAAGGGAGATGCTTATTCCTCAGATATAGAGACTTAGTGCATAATATCAGTGCAGCTATTTCTTTTCTTGAGATTCAGATCATCATTCTACAAATCTACACTCATTGTCCCAACTATGAGGGCAGCAAAATTGAGACAAATAATTTTCCTGTATTTAAAATAGGTCAGAAATGCTATCAAACAAATCAAGTATGTACCTATGTGTAGACAGCTCATTTGCAAGCAAGCTGTAAGCAGTCAGAGCTGGTGTTACAGCTCCTCGGTGTCAGGAACCATGGAGCCAACTCTAAGATGGATAATTGTTCCACCTTTCCTAAATAGTCACCTCACCTGCGTGGTCCAAGACGACCAAACATTACCTTCCAGCACAAGGACAAAGCCAAGGCAAAGGGGAAGGAAGGGCTTACCTGCCTAAGGGCGTCACCTAGAAATGACACATTACTTCTCAGACTCTATTGGCAGAACTTGATCACATGGCAACACCTACTTATAAGAGGAATCTATAAAATGTAATCAGTTGCCAAATTTTGATTAGCTAAAAATTCTTACTATGACAGAGAGGGGAAAGATAACAGGTACTGGGAACCAAGAGGGTTTCTGCTACTCATTTGGAGTTCTTATGTCATAACTTGCATTTAGTCACTCTCAGGAGTCTTTTTATCTCATAATCTTTATGTTCTAAAATAATGAGTACCTCCAGGTCTTGTAGTATAAAAAAAACTGGTTTGGCTAATCCTTACTAAATATTGCAGTCAAGATTCTAGTAGTCAAAATGAGAAAAATCAGATAATTTGTAAAATTTGGTGATTTCTCTTTTTTGTTGTTAATCAAGAGAAAGTTATTTTAATAAGACTATTTTGAGGTCTGAAAATATTATGTAAGTATTTTATAAACACCAAAAGACTGTATAAATTATTATTCCCCAATTCTCATTCCAAACGTGATCAATATTCCATCTTCACATTCCTGCTCCTCTATAGCCATAATTCTGATGCTCCAACAAAGAAAAAAATTTTTTTTAAAAAGGCAGCATTCTCCACGAGAACTGTACAGTGCCCATACAGCTCAGTGCATAAATTCACAAAGAGATGGCATAAAGTCACCAAAAGTCAGGCACTCCCACTACCAGTCCAATGGCTCCTCTTGGCTTTCCACTGAATTCCACATCATATGCTGAGGTAAACTCTTTTGTAAAGTTTCACACAGCTTGTGTTGATTTCACTATTTTAAACTTGCTTTTTTAAAAATCTCAAGATCTAATTGGCCTTAATTAAGAGATTCTCAAATGGAGCAGCTTCCCATCAAGCCACTAGAACAGCGGTTCTCAATCTGTGGGTCGCGAACCCTTTGGCAGTCAAACGACCCTTTCACAGGGGTCGCCTAAGACCATCCTGCATATCAGATATTTACATTACGATTCATAACAGTAGCAACATTACAGTTATGAAGTAGCAACGAAAATAATTTTATGGTTGGGTCACATAAAATTATGGTGGAACTGTCCTGGATTGGACTTCTTTAATACTAGTCACTCCCCTCCACCTAGCAACTCTGACCCTTCCATTCTTTCTAGTACAAACCTAGAAATTCAGTCCTCCATACTGTTTTCCAAGATATGCAAACAACCAGAGACCATCGACACAGATGAATGTCTAAAGAAGATGTGGTATACATATACAATGGAATATTACACAGCCATAAAAAGATAATATATTTCCATTTGCAATAATATGGATGGGCCTTGAGGGTATTATGCTAGGTGAAATATGTCAGATGGAAAAGTACAAACACTGTATGATTTCACTCATATGTACAATATAAAACAAAAAAGAAACAAATAAATAACAACAACAACAAAAAACTCATTGATACAAAAAAACAGATCAGTGGTTACCAGAGGGCAAGGGGAGTGGGGAAGGGTGAAATGGGTAAAGCAGGTCAATTAATATGGTAGCACATAGTAACTAGACTTTTGTTGGTAAGCACTATACAGTGTATACAGATAACAAATTATAATATTGCATACCTGAAATTTATATAATATTAATAATTAATATTATCTCAATAAAAAAAGAAAAAAGAAGAAGAAAATAAAAAATTCAGGCACTTATATTACAAAAAGGATAAACAACTGTCAGGGCTTAAACTACAGAGATGTGAACTATAATGTATTGATTAATTTCGGGGAACTTCCCATTATACTTCAGTAGCCAATAAAACAATGTGGTGATTTCTATTATCCAGGAATGTAATGCCCATGCAAAAAACATAAGTAATACCGCAAACAAGTTCATTTCAAAAAGTGCCTAATTTAAAAATATTAGCAAAAAAATTTGCAAGCTGAACTGAAATGCAGGCACTCAAAGGCCTAAGAAGTCAGATCACAATTACAAAATGCATACATCAGACCACTGGGAAAACTGCTAACAGAGAAAAATCTTGCTCCCAAGCCATGAATTGACTCCAGCCACTGTTTACTACTGATATTCCACTATTTGTTGAAACAAATAATCTTCTTTGCTTTACTTTTAAGTTTAGGATGTGTGAGAACAATGAGAACAGAATGTCCTGGAATGTAAAAGGTGGAAATTATTATACATATGGATCTGGTTCCCAAATCCATCTCTTTAGAAAGGAGGTACTGGAACAGGGTGGCAACTGTATACGGAATGTAGAGGAGGAGGAAATAAGCCATCAGCTTTATAGCACCCACATGAGCTTCAGTCTGGGGATTCCAAAAGCCAGTGGCATTTCTCTGCATCTTCTGTATATGTTTCCTCAAGGAGTTTATTAACAAGGAAGCAGAAGTCACATTAATGATGAACTGGAGAAATGAGTTCAAGAACAAAGAGATCACCACTGACAAGGTGCCCTCATCGGCGTTAAATTCTGTGCCATTTCTCTCCGTCATCACAAATTCAGGAAAGAGTAGCTTCTGTCTGAGCACAATATACAGAAGCACGGTGAAGGCAGAAAGCAACACACAGGCCAGCAATAGCCTGGGGGTCTTTGGGGAGAGATTTTGTTTCAGCAGAAGAAAAATTGAGTATTTCAAGTTAGCAATCGTCACACAGTACAAGACATTGAGCAAAGTTACAAACCAGAGGCTACTGGAGTCCAAAAACATCCAAAACAACAGGAAAAATTTGGGTAAGTAAACTAACCTTTCAACATTTGGAGAGATGAAGAAGCAGATGTTCACCAGGGACATTCCCATCATGAGAAATCTGGTGATGCCTAAGCTGAACAGGATCCTATCCGAAGAGGACATTCCGTGGCTTTGGACCCAAGTCTTGTAATTGATCACTGCAATAAACAGATTCACAATGAGTCCTATAAAATCCAAAACTACTGAGATAGTAAGAACAGAGACAGAGAATATTTGGAACATCTTTAGTCATGGAGGACTCAACAGCTGTGGTGCTGATGTTGGGAACAGGGGAAATACTGAAATGTAGAAGGAGGCACCAGCATCCAGCCAGGAGGGCATTTCCTTTTTCCTTTTTCCCCAGTGTGGCAAATGAGCCATTAGTGGTCTAAGAGCCAGCTGCTTTTACTGAGATGCAAATCTTCCAAGGATTGTATTACTATTTCTTCATTCATATCCTGTTTTCTTTAGAAATGCCTAATTCAAACAGCAAAGGTGGACCTGGGAATCCACTCCTCCAAGAGAAGGAGAGCTGAAGGGAGGAGTTATAGCAGGCTCCAAGGACTGCAAAGCCAAATGACAGAGTTCCTTCCAGCACTGTTTCTGTCACTGCTCCACAGTGAGTGCAGCTTTCTTCACAGCAAGCCCAGATAATGGTGGGAATCCCCATGCCTCACTTCCATGCACCCCCATCCACACATCCATGAATTACTTGAATCCACCTTCTCTCACCCCTCTCATCTGTTATGTCACAGCTGTCATTCTGGCCATGCTGATGTTACCCTTCCAGGCAACCAATCGATGTGCCTCTCTCACATCGACGTTTCTCTCTCTCTCTCTCTCTCTCTCTCTCTCTCTCTCTCTCTCTCTCCC